CTGCTGCACGAAAAAGCGCGGTGTAAAACCACAACGGGCGCTAGCATGAGAAAAAGGGAAGCGTGCTTGAAGAAGACAAGCTTGCAGGAGCCTGAGCCCGTGCACGTGTCCTGCCCCAAAGCGTCGGGGCCACCCGAAACACCGCGCCGGGCCACCGCGTTAAGCAGGCACCTGGAGGGAAGCGGGGAAGGTCTGCGTAAGGGGTATGTGGGTGGAATGAGGGGCCGTAAATCCACCACCACCACGGATCTGGCTAATTTAGTTAAGCCCCTGTATTTATTCATCGCTCGGTAAGGCCTTGGTTAGAGATCGGCTGGGGCGACATTTGTTTTAGATTACGCGCAGCAAAGATCTCGTGCCTCTGAGAAGGCTCTGCTGTGTCTCACTCCCAGGTGTTCAAATACCATGAATCAGATCCCTCAGTATTCTCGTCTCTGGCTTAAAACAAAAAGAAAATAACACCGGCTCCGTTTCCATTCGTGTTTGGCTCTTGCGGCCTCCGAGGCACCTCGCTGGCCACTCCAGGGGTCTCTTTGCAGACCCCATGGCCTGAAGCACCCTGAGAAGCAGGAAGGGCAGGGCAGGGGGGCTGCATGTCCCCCACTCGCCCTCCTTCCCTGCTCTTGTTGGCGTTAAAGGCAACTCCATCAGGCCTGAGCTTGTTCTGCTCCTTGAGGCATCCATGGTATTTCGGACCCGCATTTGTCTCCACCAGCCACGGCTGTGGAAGCAGCAGCCAGCAAAGACTTTTTTTTTCCTACCTACAGTCCGCCGGTCCCTCTTAAACCTGGAGGGAAGCCCTGCCACCATCCCTGCCTCCTTTCACCCACAAAGCTCGTTCACCACAGGAAAAACAGGTTTAAATAAGCAAAAAAAGGAAAATAAAGGAGCGCTCAGAAGGGAAATAGCTCTGCAAATTAAGACCCAAAGAATCCCGGAGGTATTTGATGCTTGAGCGGCTGAATGAGATGCCAGGCAAAGCATGCGGAGCCACTTATTTATTTAAATTGGCATGGGGACACTGCTCAAATGTGCAGCCTGCAGCTATCCGCCAGATCCAGCGGGATGACGTGGGCATGGCAGGCTGCGGGTGCACAGCCCCTCCTCGGGGTGCCCGTGCTATGGGGCTGCCCGCAGCCACCTGCCCCAAATAAATCTGGGGGGGGGGAGAGGTAGCAGCAGCCAGGAGTGGTGGGTCAAAGCTGTCCCTCCTGAAAGCCCTACAGGGCTGTTTTTAGGGTTCTCCTCCTTTGGAGGTCTCCCCCAGCCCCTCTCCTGCTCCACGACCAAACGCGAGCACTGCAGCACAAAGCTGTCGAGCACATGGGGCACGGAGCAGCAGGAAGCAGAGATCGATTGCACGGGGTTTGGTGGGTCTGCATACAACCAGACCACCTCATTTTCAGCCGCCAGCCTCTTCCTGGCCTCCTGCGGCTCAGGATGTAGAGAGCAGCCCGGGGGTTGCTGCAGCCTTTTGGGACCAACCTGCAGAAAATTCAGGCAGCTACGGAAGCAAGAATTTTGTTTCCCTTCCCAAGCTGGGCTTGAGCTTAGCTGCGTTCAGAGTAGAGGTTTGTTGGATCAAGGTGGAAATGAAGGTGATCTAAACCCAAGCCCAGCTTTGTTTAACTGCATTACGCTCCTGTCTCCGGGGCTCTGTTGACATTGTACGCTGTTTTCCAGACTAGCACCCAGCATTTTGCATGGACACATTCCCAATGACTTTCCAGGCGAAGAGCTGTGACAAAAACCTAACCTGTTATGTTGTAGGGCACTTCCTCTTTGCCCTCGCCTAAGCAGAGAGCTGCATTTATTTGGGATATTTACGGCTGCAAGGAACGGTACCCGCGTCGTACGGCTCACCGAACAAAAAGGAAAACCCCACCATTAAAATGCAGCTAAAGACAACACGCGAAAACCAAGATGTGGAACAAATCCCAGCTTGAATCATCTGGCTCCAAGACCTGCGTGGAGCCCATTGAGCCTGAGCTAATATCTATTCACAACATGCAAGGAGCAAAGACAAATAGGAATGGCTTGGAGCTAAAGTTTTGCTGTGCCACATCCGGAGACAACACCGACCCCTCTTCTGCTCTGGCACTGGTTGGGACAATGTTCCCTCCATGCCCTCCTTGTGCACCTCCAGGAAGGCCTCATCCACTTTTTGCTCCCCAAAAAAGGCTGAAGCCTTTTTTGCAAGGCTAATTGACCCCACAGGATGCGATCTGCTGCCAGCACAACATCAGCGCATCCTCCTGCTCCCCTGACCCGCAGGACTCTTGCAGGCAGCACGAGCTGGGCAAAGGAAACAGCCAAAGTTAAGCCAGCTCCCACGAGCAGAACAGGTGATGGATGGAGAGGATGTGCACGGCGCTGAGCCAGGTATTTTGGAAGAGCTCAGGAGGAGGCTGAAGCTGCTGGCGGGGAGCGTGGTGGCGACAGGTAGCTGGGCCGGGTTGCCTTTTAAATCTGCTCAGCTGCAGGCGGATAAGATGCGATCAGACCTTTAGGTGTCATTTCCTTTCCAGCTCTCTGTTTGCTTGCAGGGTGTTTTCCTAATTTCATGTTTCTGGGAATCCTTCCCAGCTCCAAAGATGGGTAAATCTTGGCGAGGGCTCTGTGCGCACCGCAGCTCCCCGGCAAGCTGCAGCCCCCCAGGAGCGCGCCCAGGCGCTGGGCAGGGCGAGCAGCTCGCCGCAGCGTAGCTGCATTGGCCCTGCAATAAGCTGTCACTCCGAGCAGGGTTTAATAGCTTCATTAGATTAATGAGCCTGGATGAACCGAGCCTGGGCAGTCCAGCCAGTGCAGCTGGAGCGAGCACCACGGTTAAGCTAACGTAGCCAAATTTTGCCAAAGAAGAGGCCGAACGCCGAATGCTCTCCTGCTTGCCCCAGACACATCCCCTGGAAACCCGACCCGTGGCTGTGCTGCTGACGGTGATCCCACAAGTGCCTGTCACTGTCTGAAGTGTTATCTCTGGGGTGCTCTGATAAGCCTCCGCATCTCGCGGGCACTTCAGAAAAGAGCAATAAAATAAGATGGCAAGCAGCTCGCCAGCACACTGCCCCAGTCCCAGGCTGCCACGGCCAGTCGCTGTTTCAAGGGATGGTTTTTGGGCACTGGAAGCACTCTCTGGTACCGTAGCTATGAGAAAAGCCTGCCTGACATCGATAACTCCCCTCTGCAGTGTTATCAGAGGCCTTATCAACGCACGCAGCTGGTGCCGGCTGCAATGAAATTCATTTCAAGCCTGTTTTCTTTGCAATTCCTCAGCTGGACATGCTTGTATCAGTCACAGGGGCCGAGGAAATCGATCCCACCCCAGTGGAAGTGCATCCGCTCGGCAGCATTTTAACTCATCGGGCTGAAAATCCCCGCTCCTGCCCTGCTGCCCACACAGGGCTGGCCTCGACAGCTGAGCTTTGGCCGTGCTGGTGAGCATTTGAAGCCCACCAAAGAGTTAAACCTCCTGGTGCCTCGCCGAGGCCACCGCGAGCTTCCTGACGTTTCTCCCTTCAGCGGTTTCTCACCCTCTTGCTGCAACCCTCCGAGAGCCGCCCGAGCACGCTGCTGGTGTTGGGTTTGCAGCTGAACGGCCCCGTGGTGGGCCCACGTGTGAGATCTGCCCCGTGGTGGGCCCACGTGTGAGATCTGCCCCGGGAACCTGTGCCTCACACCTTCCCGGGGAGGCCGTGCTGCAGCTCCAAGGTGGGCACCAGACCCTGGGGCTTCTCCCCCTCCGTGGGTGTTGGACCTGGCCGGCATCAGCAGCTCTTGGATGGCCCCAGAAGAGCCCAGTTGTCCTTCTCCTTCCCCCCCACGCCAGCACAGGGGATCTGAGCTGCATCTCGGTGTCCCCAAGCATGCAGCTGCCACCAGGCTGGATGGGGAAGGAGGTGCTTCTCGCCCAGCTCAGACAGAAGGAGATGGGGCAAATCCCAGCGAGAAGACAACGTGGAAGCAGAGGAGCTGGCCCAAGCACACACACTTGGGTTTTCCCCCTCTATATTGTGATAAGGGGCTCTCGCCACGGATGGGGTTATTTGTGCTGCCCGGCGTGACCCGGTGGTGTGAGCCCATGCTGAAAATTGCCTTGCCTTTAAGATTGTCAGCTGAAAAACAAAACAAACAAACAAACAACAAAAAGCAAATGCATTTCAGGAAGTAATCCAGGGAGCAGGGCTGCCAGAAACCCCTAAGAGAGACCCCTAAGAGAGAGCAAACAGTCCTTATCTGGCAAAGTTTTGTGTTACTTAACAGCAGCGCAAGTTTAATGGCATTTTTGTTGTTGTTTCTGCTGCACACAAGGCATCATTTCTGGGCGGATCCTGTTATTAGCGTTGGTCCCCGACTATTTCTATCAGGGTGTTTGTTCATCTTCCCCTCGCCTCTGCTGTAGCCTGATTGCTAGGAATGGTGATTGCCAGCAACTGTAATTTCTTTAGATCTGAGGCCTCAGAGCACTCAAGGAAGAGATAAATATCCTTGTCTTACCCTGCTGGCTTGGTGACCAACGCCAGAAATGTCACTTTCTTGTTTTCCTCCCTGCCACCAGCAGCGCAAAGCGAACAAGGGCATCAGATTTCAGGAGCGCTTGGCTCAAAGGGGGACTTTGTTTGTGGAGGCGGGCTCGAAAGGGCATTAAAAGGGCTGGCATCCCGAAGGGGGAAACCGAGATGACCTTCGGGTGATTTTCTGCCGAAAGGGCATCAGCGAAAGTTGGGCTCTGCGGCCATTACCCGGGCTCTGTAGCTCAGTGTGAGGGAGTTAACCAAATGTCAAAGTCCTTGCACGCAGGGAGCCCACGAACCACTTATCAGCAATGGCCACATGGTGGAAAAAGATCGCATAACGGCGGCGGAGACGGAAACATTTATGGTTAGTTCCTCTTCGCAAAGGGACACGCGGAGTCACCCACGCCTGTACCAGCAAGGAGCAGCCCCTCGGATGGGCACCAGGCATCCCGAGAAGTGATGGAGAAGCGCCTGCCCTCCTGCCTCTAGCTGGTACGTCCTAGGGGTAGACCCTGCGGGGGTTTTAGCAGCGGGGCTGTGGGATTAAAGCCCAGCGCCCACCCGACACCCTGCCCGGAGGGGCTCGCCCACGCCTCCCACCTTTAGCACTGAAAGAAAACAGGCCCACGGAAATCTGAAAACACAGATGAAAAGGCTTTGCCTTCAAAGCCTTGCACCTGGCCAGGCTGGAGCACGGGGCTGGGGGAGGCACAAATATTTGCGGGGCTGACTGCATCGCCGAGGAGCGCGCGCTGCCTTCAGTCGCGAGCGCACGAGTTTCTCGGGTAGCGAACGAGCTGGGCTGGGGCTCAGCTGTGGCTGGGCGGTGTTTTATCTCGCTTAACCCATCGGAATTCATTTGCATGCAGAGGTTTGGATTTTAGACCATTTAAGGTTAACTCATTGCAATATGGTAATTGGCTTCTTCCCCCAGGAGCAGCCGCCGGGGCTTAGGGAGCACGAAGAGCAGAAGTTGCTCTGCGAGTGTGGGGCGAGAGGTTTCTGCCACCTTTGTGGCTGGGCTCGCTGCACCCCCAGGATGTCCCTGCAGAGAGCTCAGCTCCCTTCCCGGCCCCAAACATCGTGCCCAGAGCTCGATCCCTCTCTCCCCAGCAGGAGAGGGGCAGGAGGCGAGCGCACAGGGCACGCTCTGCGTTCTCGCCCTCTTCCCGCTTGCTGGAGAGCTCATCCGAGTCGCTCCGCTGAGAGATCCTCCTCGCTGCCAGGTTTGGTTGGACTTGGCCGGTGGATTCAAACCGTGTTGTGGGCGGCTGATAGACAGGCAGATAGACAACGTGATCGTGAGAGCTTCGTTTCTGTACGAAATGGGGCTAAAAATGACTCCTCATCCCGAGGGAGCTTGTCCAGCATGTCTCAGTCTGAAGTATGCAAAGCAGAGAGAAAACACTACAGAGGCAGCAAGGGGTAGGTTGCTAATTCAAGACCCACAGTCAAATTTCTCCCCTACCACAGACTCTCCGATTGGCCTCCAGCAAATCATATAATTTTTCTAATCCTCAGTTCCTTTTATGTAAAACAGAGCCAAAGGTTTGGGGTTTTTACCTTTTGGAGGTGGTAGGATGGCTACGTAAATTAAAAATGTTGAGGCGCTTGGATGCTACATCTAAGCCTACAGCCTCGGTCTGCTGCTGCCATCAAAGCACCCAAGATCATTAAAATAAAAAAAAAAATAAATAATAAAAAATATGACTTCTGCAGTCTGGGTCCACAACCCCAGACCCACGTGGGTTTGGAAAGAAGATGCCGCTGGTGGTGATGTTTCAGCCCACGCTGCACCACTTCTGCCTTGCTCTGGTCCAGGGTAAGAGTAGCAAACCCTTGTCCTTCCCCACACCAAGGCTGAAAGGCATGGATAAAATCCCCACCGCCACAAATCCGTGTAAGGGAGGTGCAGATGCCCCGGGGAGGCTGAGGGACCTGGCTGTGCAGTGAGGAGCGCTCGGTGTGGCAAACACTGTTTGTCACAGGACAGGGGAGCTGTGGTATTGCAGCTGCCTCTCTGCGCAGGGATGCTATTCTGGCTCCCATTTGTGGTCTGATGTTCCTGAATATTTGCAGTGGCTGGGTTAACCCTTTAGCTTTCTTTCTGTTTAACATGGAAAAAGTAGTGGCTGTCTTCAAACTGCTCAGGGAATAATACCTGAAGCAAGGGATAACTAAGGAGGTCTGAAATTGTAATGCTTTCTTCCCATCAGTGTCAACCTCCCCCTCTGTGATGGGCGTTTGCTGGCTGGGGGAGAGGAATCGGAGATTGCTGCCCATCCCTAACGGGATTTGTGCTCCCCGAGCTGAAATCACCCACGCAAGCAAGGCTAACGCCATCGCTTGCCAGCCCTCCCCCCAAAAAAAGCTGTCATGGACCCAATGCAAATTGAATTGTGGCTGCCAAATTCCCCTGGGGTTGCGGGAGCTGAGGGCTCCCTCCAAGCCCAGCTTTCTGCTGTCCTGGAGAGCATCCTCCCACGGATGAGAGACCTCATCCCAGTCCCGGAGATGGGGATGTTGTCGTCTTTGAGGTGTCTTCCCATCAGCATCCTGGAGGTGGAGCCTTTCAGGGTCCTCAAGGACTGGCATTGGTGTTCTGCCCCCAAATTATCTCTCTTGTATGGTGAGAACTTCACTTGTTGTACCATTGTCTTCCCCCTCTGTCCTCATTCCTGTCCCCCAGTACTTCTGCAATGCTCCTGAGGCACTTTTGAAGCCAGGCCACCTCCGGGTGCCTGCAGCCCTCCTTCCAGCTGAGTTTGGGGAGGGGAAAATCCCCCTTCGCTTCTGCAATCTCTTTGTGCCAGCTCCGAGACCATCTCAACCTTGGCCTTAAAATTAGGATGGCCACTTCTCGGTGCTGGCTGGGAAAGATGGCGAGGACGGGCAGAAGATGGGGCCGTGGGGCCTCTTCTTCCTCAGCAATCTCTTGTGGATCCCTGTTGGGATCCCCCGGGAGCCGCTTCCAGCTGCCAGGCAGCCCAGCTCGCCCATCTGATAACCGGCAGGTTGGAGAGGCGTTGGCACCGCCGCTTTGTTTTTGAGGCGCTGTTTTTCTAAATTTCCAGCAACTCGCGAGGAAGGGTGTTCTCTGGCGCTGCTTCCTTTTGACCTTTCGTTAGCTCCCGGTCGCAGGGGGCAAGGTCCCACGCTCGCCTTTCGGAGGCTTCGCAGCCGTCTCGCCCGGCCGGGTTTGTTTTGGTTCTCCTTGCCTTTGTTTCCCTTTCCATGGATCGGCCCGACGAGGAAGAAAGCAGAGAAAAAAAAAAAAAAAAAAAAGTTGAATTAAGACAAGGCAGCTTTTTTTTTTTTTTTGCTTTTTTTTTTTTTGCTTTTTTTTTTTTTTTTTTTTTTGCGGTTCGGGTGCAGGCGCAGGCTCTATTTCTGGCACCGCTGCAAACTTCCTGCACGTCGCCGGGCAAAGCAGCAGCTCGCACATCCCCACTTCTCCTTGCCTCCTGCATTAAAAAAAAAGAAAAGAATAAATGAAAATAATAATAATAATAAAAATAAACAACAACAAGGAGGAGCGCTCCTGCCCTCCGCTCGCACCGGGAGGGATGCTGCCGCACCGCCGGCTTGGGCACGGGGGGGGGGGACCGGCCTGAGGGGCTGCCCCGCATCTCGGTGCGGGTCGGGGAAGCCCCCCCTGGGGTGAAAGCCCCCCCTGGGGGTCTCCTTTGTGCGGGGAAGGAGGCGGGGGGCGGCCTGGCCGCTGCCCCGGGGGAGGGGAGCGGGGGGCGGCGGCAGCCCGGGGGGGCGGTCGGGCGCGCCGGGGGAGGAGACAGGCGGGGAGGGCGGCACAAAAGGGGCTGCTGCAGCCCGGCTCGGCTCGGCATCCCCGGCCCCAGCCGTTCCCCACGGTCGGAGGGGAGGAGGTAGAAGGAGGAGGAGGTGGTTCCGAGCCGCTCAGCTCCGTTCCCTCCGAGGAGGAGGAGGAGGAAGGCGGCGGGGGGGCTCCGAGCCATGCCGGGGGGCGGCGGAGGGGCCGGGGGCGAGCGGCAGCCTCGCCCCGCCGGGGGCCCGGCGGGCACCGCCGCTGCGCCGGCCGGGGGTGAGTGAGCGAGGGGCTGGGGGATAAGGGAGGGAGGGAAGGGAAAAAAAGGGGGGTCGGGGGGCGAGCACCCTCCCCGCTGAAGTTGCCCCCGGGGCTGCGGGACCCCCCACCCCCTTGCTCCCCATTCCCCGCAGCCGCCACCTGCGAGTTGGGGCTGCGGCGTCATCCCCTGCGGGCATTTCCCCCCCCCGCTTTCCTTCTCCTTATTTATTTATATGATCGCGTGTTTTTTCTTTTTTTTTTTTTTTTTTTTATTTATCCCCTCCCTCCCCATAATCCCAGCATCCCCCGCTAGGGAGCAGCGGCGGCGGTGGGGAGGAGGGAGGCGATGCCGCCGGGTCCCCCCCCCCCCCTCCCCATGCCCGCAGCTGTGCCGGGGATGGAGGCAGCCCCCAGCCGGGGCACCCGCAGCCCAGGCCCGGCCTGTTTGGCTTGGGGGGGGGTCACACACACAGGCTGGGGCTTTGTGCCAAGCCTGCAGCAAGCGAGGAGTAACAGGAGTGCGTGCGTGGGAGGGAAAACACCCAGACAAATGCAGCGTGCGGGCAGCATCCAGCGGCCCTGCTCCATCTCCACATCTCCCCCTTGCTCTGTGTCTGCCCCAGACCCACTGCGAGCCCCCCAGGATGAGAGCTGGCTGCAAAAGGATGCAGGCACCCGGTTCCTCCCAGCTCGCGTTGGGTTGTTCATGGGCTGGGAAGAGCTGCGTGTCCCCGCTGGAGTGGCACGGGCTGGCGCAGCTCCGTCCTTGCGAGAGTTTCGCTCCCTGGGCGAGCGTGACAAGGGTGATGGGAAGCACGGCGGCTGCTGCGGCTCGGGACTTGCTCAGACAGCTCCGCGAGGGAGGGAGCGGGATGGAGAGAGGCACCTCTCCGTGCCTCATCCTGGGGTTTTCCTCCGGGGGTTTCCACAGGCTGTGTTTCCACGAGCTTTGCCGGGGAGCCCTGCTCCTTCCCAGCGTCGAAGCTGGGGTCTTGCGCTTCTGCTCCACACCAGGACAGTGCTTGGGCCATGAGAGAAGCCCGCACAGGCAGCTCGGTGTGGGTGCCGAGCACCTCCCCTCCCAGAGAATGGCCCTCCAGTCAACGCCAAATCCCTCCCCGTGAGTGGGAAGTTCAAGCCCGTGAAAACACTCCGTGGCACGGCTGCTAACAAGTACGACTTGAGTCACCAGGAACCCCCCCCCCCCAGCCCTGTGCAAACTGAATTTCAAATTCCCACCTACTCTTGTTCCTGCTTGCCCCATCCCAGCAGGATGTGAGTCAGCGGGGACTTTTCGGGGCCCCCTGCTGAAAGAGCAGCTACCCTGACCTGTAGGTCCCACCCTCAGAAGTGGTGCTCAAGTCCAGCTGGAGCCCGTGACTCGTTAGCCACTTCCAAGTCCTGGTTGCTGCCAGCTCCTCCAAGAAGAGCTGGAATCACACAGGACCTACCATTGCTTGACCCTTGGACTGCAAAGAGCTGTCCTGGCGGGGATGGAAAACCAAGGGGCTTCCCACCCTCCAGCACACCTCTGGTTTCCAAAGCTCCCTGAGCACAGCCATAGCACCTGCGCTGTATTTTCAGCCTCAGGAGTAGTGCTGGGAACATCACCCGAGTGAGAAGCAGTCCCGTGAGCTATTCCTGGGGAGCCTATAGCGATATAAAGCAGGCTTTGAACGAAAGCCATCGCCAGCTGCCCAACAGGAGCGAAGCTGGGAGTCCGCCACCGTGTTGTCATCGAAGTCCCGCCTAGATTTATGGCCCTTCTACGCCCTCAGGTGATTTTGCAGCAGTGGTAAGCAATCCACTGCGAGGTATAACATTCCCTCCCCGTGAGGACTCTCAGTTGTACCTGCACGGCTTGTTTATTAATGCTTTGGATACAGCAATTATATCCTTAGGAGAGGGGAGGGGTTTGGATTTGCTGCAGGTGCGCTTTCTTGCCTCGCTCCAAGTGCAGTTGCCCAGCTGCTGCCTCACCCGCCTGCACACCTTGGCTCTGAGGTGCCCGGAGCGTGAGGAGCTTGAACCAGATGGGGTTTGGGGGCTGAGCCACGGTGTCCCTCTGTCCTTCCCCGCAAGTGTCGGTAAGGTTGGGGAGAGAATGAGCTGGCTGCGCGGCACGCCAGGATCGTCTCAGTGAGGTGGTGAAGGAGAGGAGGTGGAAAATAGTGGGTGTATTTGCACTTCAGGAGATGGCCACGACTGCGATCGTCTATCGAGAGCACTCGTGCCCAACAGGGGACGGGAATAGCTGGTCTGGGGGCTGCTGCGCTGTTGCAGCGGGTGCTGTCGCTGGCGAGCTCGCTTGGGGAGCGTCCGTGTGAAGTTTGCGTGCGTGCTTCCCGTGCTCCTGGTGTTTATCCTTCCCCTGCCGTTCCCACGCACAAGTGGTTACACACGGCAGTGACTTCGTGGCCTGCCAGATGGCTGTCACATGCCTATTGCATGTCTTCGAGGGCCGCTTGCGTGACGGGCTCGGGTGGGTGTTCGCTAGGGGCATGCGGGATCGCACACGAGCCCTGCCGGGTGCGCTTACAGGAGAGCGCTCGCCCTTCGGTGGGGTTTATGGCTGCAATAAATTTGGCACGTATAAGCAGCCGCCGGGTGCAGGAGTTGGGAGTTGGTCGGGACAGCAGGTTTGGGTGTTATTGTGCGTGTTCATTGCATGAAGGACACCTTAGCTCAGGCAAGTTCCCTCCCTTGCTTTGTCCTGTCAGCGAGCAGAGATAAGCCCTCTCTCCTGGCGGGGCTGATAGCTGAGTTTTCAGGGTGTTGTGTCTGAGCCTCCTCCTGTTTGGAGAGCAGCATCTTTAAGGTGCACCTGCTATCAAAAAATTGATTTTATTATTTTTTTTCCCCCTCCCCTCGTGCACTGGATTGTGAATGTGGAGGAAGGAAGCAAGGGAATTTGGTGATGGATGGATGGGGCGAGCCGGGCCAGCCTTCATTTCTAAAGGCTGCTTAGGTTTTAGGTGGGGTTACTTGCTCTAAAATGAGCCCTTTGTACATTGTTGGAAGCCGTGACCCAATCAGTGGGACGTAGCTGGAGGAGGTGGTGCTAACGAAGGCTGGTACAGCTGACAATAACTCCGGCAGAGAGGGCGGCGGGGGGGGCACTGGCTGGCACAAGAGGCCTCTTCACATCGTTAGGTCAACGTAAGGTGCTCGGAAGGGCTGGTTTGAGTTCTCAGCCCTGACTGGAGAGGTAAGAGTGTGTGGCTGGTTGGCACCACCTGCTTTTCCCCACTGTCACCCGTCAGTCATGCAACAAAGCCAGGCCACGCTGCATTTCTCCCGATGACAGGATGGCATCTCGTGGTACTCCACCAAACCTTAACAGCGGGGAACGAAAGGGGAAGGTGTGCACAGTGCGGCGCAGGGGGACGTGGGGTGCATCCTAGGAATGCCGAGTGTTTCCACCCGGGATGCTCCTGGGGATGGTGGTGGCACATCTGCAGCGCACGTGTGGGCTGTGCTGTCAGGTCGGTGCTGCAGGCTGGCCGTGAGGAGCCTGAGCCTGGGTTGTGGGCGGTTCTGGGTCAGGTTTTGGGGTGCTTGGACAGTTTGGGGAGCGTGCTGCAGGAGCAGTGCTAGTAGCAGCCTGCACCGCCGCTCTGACATGCAGCAAGAGCACCCCGTGCCTGTATCCCTCTGAAATGGACTCTGGCTGCAGCCCTTGGGAAGGCAGAAGCGCGATTTCTTCACCTTCCTTTTCTGATCTTTGTCCCCCCTGCAGTGCAAACCCTATCCTTTCCCCAAGCTGCTCCTGAGCACAACAGGTACCTCCAAATGCCTGGATCGGGGTGGATATATTTTTGTGCTCAGAAACTTGCCTGGTGTGGAGCTGACCGGTGAAAGGGAGTGCAGCTCTGAGCTCTCACCAGGCGGGCTGCAGGAAGAAAAAGCACGAAGGGATCTGGCTGCCTTACAAAAAAACAAGGGCTTGTTCTTGAGCCGTGATTTAGGAAGTGATTATTCTCGGCTTGAGGATAGCAGCAGTCACCTGAGCTGCTTGCTGTGGGGGCCTCAGCCTTTCATACCACGATAACACCCCCCTGCAGTTGAATAGGCAGCTTGATGAGCTCGGTTAACATTTCCTGTTTCCCCAGCGAAGGGAGCGCCCGGGCCACTGTCTAAATAGGCTTTTTGCAAAAAAATCCTCCATGGCTGTGGTGTCTGAGCAAACTGAGCTCTGCCAGAAGTCTCTAAAGCAACATCTGCAAGCAGTGGGAGAGGTGGATGTGACCCTGCAGAGAGGGGGAGAGGCAGCGGGGGCAGCTCCTCTCGCTGATGAGCCGGTGCAGTGCCTTTTAATAAAAAGGTTTCCTTCCAAGAGCCTCGAAGCAACCTGTTAAGCTTCTCTTAATTAAGCAAGCCCGTTAGCTGGAGGTAGAAAAGCGTCGCTCCCGTTTCCCAACCAGGGAAACTGAGGCAAGGAGCAAAGCAGCACAGGCAGGGGCTGAGCACGAGGGCGATGACCCAAGCGTGGCACTTCTTGTCCTCGCTTTGCTGCCGGCCATCTCAGAAATCCTGAGGGATACCCACAGGCTGGGTGCGGGTCCTGAGGGGTTATTGCTAGCTTGCAGTCACTGCTTGCACCCTGCTGTCCTCATCACAGCTATCGCCTCCTTGATCTGCTGCCTAATCTACAATCCCAGCGCCCTGCCATTTTTCCTTGGCGTGCAAATCCTTGCGGATTGGGCCAGGGTCAGCGAGCGTAATCAGACTTTGTCATCCCTGTGAGGGTTTGGGCTCGTATTTGTCCTGGGGTGTTGCCTTGTGTGTGTTTTGCATGCTAGCAAAGCCTCAGCAAGCGGGTTGGAAGCACGTTGAGAGACCTGATGCAAATGAAACCCACCGCATAACGTCTTTGGCAACTGTGAAACCTGTGATCTAAGCGCAGGTATCTGCCGCGCTGACTTTATCTGCGTTAGGATCCCCTGTTTCGACATTCAGATACTGGAACCGCGCTGAGAGCGAGCGCGACAGCGTGGCAAACAGGCAGGGGAGGGAGTCTCTGTCTCCTAGATGCTGAGCCCTTTAAGAGAGAAGGGGAAGGTAAGCCGGAGCCCTGAGATTTTAAGCGGGTTGTGCTGAGGCTGAAGAGAGGGCTATGGCAGCGCTTTCGGTTCCTCCTCTGCCAGAAGGAAGGCTCCTAGCTGGGCGCCAGGGAGAAGCAGGAGGACAGAGGCCCGTGCAGACCGAGCATGTTGGGCACGGACGCATCTCGGAGCCTGCGGGAGCTGGAAGAGGTAGGGGCTTTGGAAGGGCTCGCCCGCGGAGGGGCTGGAGGTGGATGGTGCTGCTCAGGGGGTCCTGAGCTCACGGGGCTGGCTGCGTGGGGTGAATCAGGAGAGCGGTGACCAGCACGTGGTTATCAATGACCCCACTGCTGAGGGGAAACCTCAGCAGCCCTGATTTTTATTTTTTTTATTTTTTTTTAGGGAGGCAGCGTCTCCCTTGGGCAAAAAGAGCGGGGCAGAAAAGCGGGGAGGGGATTCCGTCTTTCAGCTCAGCCTTCCCCGCGCGTTATTTGTGCTAGCAAAACTGTTTCCTCCTTGCTGCCTCCGGAGCATGTTCAGTTCCCTTTTCACCTGCCACGGCAGCCCCTCTCTCCTCTCTGCCTTACGTGCAAGCAAGTGGCACCGTGCAGCCTGCCCTGGAGGGGCCACGAGCTGCTGCTTTTCCCCCGGCGCCGTGCGAGGTCTCTGGAGAAGAGGTGGCTCAAAGGAATTGCTGTTTTCCTCCTCGGTGCAGTGTCCCCAAATACCTCCTGTCGTGCTGTTTGGCGCAGGCCTGACCGTAAGCGAGTGGCCGTGGTGTTCTGGTAGATGTGCTGCTGGCACGGAGCCTCCGTGGCCTTGAAATCCCTGTGCAGCAGCAACTTTAGGAGCAAGGGTTGACCACACCTGCGTTCAGCCTGGCCGGGGGGGACGACGGGATTGCTTCTGCATAATTTAGTAGTCTCTTGAATTATTTATAGTGCAGTTGGGCTCTGGAACAGAGCCTTCTTGCTTCCCGTGAGCGCTGGGGGTGGGGGGGGGTAGGGAAGGGGAGTTTGTCAGGCATCCAGGTTCGCTCACTTCGCGATGAGGAAGTGCTGTGGGTTTCCTTTCTGCCCGTGTTTGCCTGCCTTTGCGCAGCCGAACCGCATTGTAGATGTTTCTGCTGAAAACAACAGGAAAAAAAAAATAAAAATGCAGTTTTGGTTTCTGCGCCCTTCAGGTGTGGGGTTCTGCCGAGCATCTCTGTGGCTTCCTGAGTTCAGAGTGCTGCCTCTGCAGCAAGGAGGTGATGTCAAGCTGGAGACGGCGAATCTAGTCCTTGGATTTGGTCCCTGACTCAATAACAGGGCTGTGCCATGGATCTAGGGCAGGGATCATCAGCACTGCTCTCTGAAATATTCAGAGGCTTGAGAGCTTTTAGTTTTTGAAGGCCCGTGTTGTCCTGCCAAAGTGTTTTTTTTTTTTTTTTTTTAAGCTTTGGCATGACACGGCACATCGGATTTTACAAGAGAACATCAGGACCCGTGGACTTGAAAGACAAGGTGATCGAGCAGCAGCCTGTACAAACAGCCCAGCTGAAATTCCCATCATTTCTCAGTGACTAAACCCTAAAGAGCACCCAGTTGAGGGCAGAGGGCGGTTGGGGTGGCTTTTTTTTTTTTATTTTATTTTTTTACAGGCTCTTGCAGCGGAGGAGCACCACGAAGATGAATTGCTGCACGTACTGCATGTGCTTCATCCCCGTTGGCCCTCTGCCTCGTGGTGGCAGGTCGCTGTGCCGTGCAGATGGGATAATCCTGCTCCTGCTTAAGTGGTCCTGGTGCCTGGGACGTGGCCTTGGGCTGCTCTGCGTTGCGTGTCCTTTCTTCACCACTGACTCTCACGGGGGTTTATACACTAGCTTTTAGTGCCTTCCTCTTCTCCTTCACTTCTGGCCCGGCCGGGCAGCTGATTTTGTCAGAAGCAGAGTTCAAGATAAATGTTTGTGTTATTGAGGACCTGAAAGGGGAGGGAAAGGGAAAGGAACTTGGCCTGTAATCAAGAGGTGGTGGCAGTAAACCGCACGCTCTGTCCTTCCGTTGAGCAGAAATGCTTGGCTTCCCTGTTTTTGTCCACATGCTGTCGGTTTGTGGCTTCTACGTTCGGGAGAAGCCGGACATGTAATCACCAGAGGTCCCTCAGCCAAGCTGTGCTCTCCCACCTGACCGTGGCCTGCAACAAACCCCTTTCTTTCATTACCCGGCTTTACCTCCTGTTGGGGAAGCTGGCAGCTGGTTAAATGCAAAAATTCCTCATCTTTCCCCGAGAAGTAAGGTGATGTTAGGGAAGAAGAGAAGTGGTATCGAGGTCTGTGTGATGCCCAGGGTGACCTGCGCTCAGCTTAATCTGGAGATCAGGGTAGTGCTCTGCCTAGTGAAAGGGGATGTTTGCACAGAAGAAGTAAACATATTGTTGAGACCCAGGCCTGCTGCAGTGCCTGTAAACGAGATCCAGCCATCTGCGGGAGGCAGAAGAGAGATTGATGTGACCCCGAGCTAAGTGCATTAGGAGGCTTTTGATTTCATTCTGGGAAACTGCCCCTTTTCCTGGTGCCATATGCCTGCTACCGACACAGAGCCGCTACCGGAGATTTGATTCGCGTGGGTTTAATCCGAGGGGCTGCGATGCTGCAATCAGGAGGATTACACGAGCAGGGGGCCGTGTCTGCACAACCGGAGCCTGGGGTGCTCTGTGGAGCCCCGTGCCCTCTGCCTGCTCCAGAGGTGGGTGCCTGGGTTGGTTCGCTTCTGCCTTGGGGGAAGGCGTTGGAGAGCTCCCCGCCTATCGGCGCTTTCCTTCCGAAAATAATAACCAAGCGAAGCGGCAGCGGGGGATCCAGGCGGCACTGTGTCGAGGTCTTGCCTAAGTCTTGAAAGAGGAAATGAAGAACAAAGGCAGAAGAGACAAATAAATAAGGGTCTGTTCTTGGTCCAAGAAAAATTCCCAGGGGTGGGTGTAACGTTCTCGGGAAGATGCAACGCTCCCAGGGCTGGGGCTGGGTTTTGTGAAATAAAATGAAAGGGGAAAGAAGGGGGGGGATCAGGGGTGGGAAAGGGAGAGAGAGGCACCTTAGGGAAACCTCTCAGCATGGAGCCAGGTTTCGCTGTCTGTTCCTGGTGAAGAGGGGTTAATGCTTTTTGCATGGGGTTGGCTGGTCACCAGGCATTCAGAGAAGAGGGGGACCCGGGGGCTGCCAAGCAGGACCCCTGTGGCCTGAAAGAAGGGGAGGAGGGGAAGGAGGAGTCTGGGAATGCTCTTCCAAGCTGTAATAGATGGGCTACTGTGGGAAAATGAGCACACTGCCAAACCCCAAGTGGTTGGTGATGGATGGGGGAGGAAAGAGGGCGGGGATGGAGGGCCAGCTCTTCGCTGTGGCCGCCAGGATCTCGCTGCTGCACCATGGCCTCTCTTTATTTATTGTCTTTCTGGGGTTTAATTATTCCCCTCCTCGACCGAACTTGGAGAGCTTTTATCCCGGGGATGCACAAACAACTGCCACCCATTCCAAAATAGCTGGAGGCAACGTGGTTTCTGTCTGGGTCTGTGTGCTTTGCCCGTCGCTGTGGCATCAAGTGCTTCTTGCTTCATTCCTTCCTTAGCTGCCTCTCTCCAGCCTGCAGGAGATCAAAATCGCCCTGCTCTTGTCTGCTCAACCTGCACCTCCCAGTTCCTCGGGCTGTCACCCAGTCCCCGGGAGCTCTCCTGCTTTTCTTTGCTCGCTTGCATGGTCTGGTGCGCGTCTGCTGTGTGCCCTCATCCTCAGTTCCGAGTTTAATCTTGGCTGCTCATTTTGGTGCTGTTCTTAGGATTCTTGACTTGTATCCCGCTTGCTTGACATATGTGGACTGCCTGCCAGGGTCTGCTTTGAAAGCAGTTGTCTGCTGCTTCTTCCAGATCCCTCTTTTGAGATGTTCTTCTTTCCTGATGCTGCCAGGAGACGTTATCAAGCTCACGGCAGTTGAATGGGAGCCTCAGTGGAGGCTTGGTTAGATGAACCGTGCTTAAAAATTGTCCCAATTCTCTAAGCATCTGAGGATGTAACTATATGAGGATGTGACAATGAGAGTTTTGGTGAGAAGTGAACTGCTGAAATCATTTAGGAAGTTTCTGCTGGTCAACTGCTTGTTCCCATCCCTAGGCACTTCTCGAAATTTATTTACTTTTAACTGAGATTGGCTGCTGAGCTGGGCTTACAGTGCAAACTTTGATATGATTGTACTGACATCGGAATGGTAGTGAGCTGTGATGATGGTGAGTGAGGGAAGAGAAGCTATGAAGCCACGGCCCGTGTTTCCACACGCATCACTTGGTCTGTGAAAGCACAATTTTCCTTTATCCTCTGATGAAATGTTTGTTTGTTTGAGGAGGCAGTAAGCAGGGCTGAGGAAGAGTCCTTCCAGGATATCAGGTGTAAGTGAAGGAGAGAAGAGGGTAGAAGTGCTGTTTTTCCTTTAGTGGATAGTTCTTAGCCTAGTGGTGCTAAGGAATTAAGATTGTGGCTTCTGAGAGCATCTGAAGGATCTGGATGTACCGAGGCATCTCGAGAACGATGGGAATCCCTATGGTGGGACTGGCCTTGGATGGGGAGAGAAGATTAGTTACAAGGGAGCCTGGTACAGCTGAAGGACACTAAGAAGAATATTTGTTAGATTCCAGTGGAGTTAGAAATCCAGCTTGAAGGTTCCTTTAGCACGCAGTGCTATACCCTTGTGATGTCCAAGTACTTGGATAAAATTAAATTGTGTCTCATAGGCCATTCTTGGATTTCAGTAGAGTTTTCTAGTCTTCTCTGAGCAGATCTTCTTTTAAACCGGGGGCTGGAGAATTCTATAATTATGCTGCTATTAGTATTATGGTAGTTACAGTAAGAACAATCTGTTCAAGTGGAGGGATTCATAATGGACTCTGAAGGTGTTCAGATGTTGGTTTATTCTGGTGACTTCTGGAAGATCAGTCTTGAGACAGAACGCCATCAACAAAGATCACTTCATTGCCAGGTCCCATCTCTATACT